TCTTGTTTATTTTCTCGTTCTTCTTGTTTTTTTTTTGCTGCTCTTGTATTGCTGCCATCACATCTGCTAAGCTGTAGTTTGATTTGCTGCTTCTCGTTTCCATTTTTTTTATCCCACTTTCTGACACCAATTTGTTACGTCTCTGTTCGTTAGTTAATTTTCCGTATAATTTATTTACGAAGAAACTTTAGCGATACAAGTCCTTTCTTAAATAAAACTGGTTTATTCTTTCTAAATACAACTTGGCAATACACTTAATTTCCACAGTCGCGCTATAACAAATGCTATAATTCACAACGAACGTATCACGTGCTCGCTCAACAGTACGTCTCTCTCTGTCATCGTTGCCGTCAGTTCTTGGCGGCTTATATATATACCAGACTACCGCATATCTAGTAAAAGCTCGAGACTTCACGAACCTTCGAGAATATGACGTGTTACTAGAGTCACGTGACCCCCGCTGTCGTAACAATATCTTTTTTGATGACTAAGTACCGGAAGAGTGAAAATGCAAGACAAAACTTCAAAATGTGCGACAGAAATTTCCACACTTGGTTAGGCTCTGAGGGCAAAAGTATACCTCAAGACTTGTAAATGATGTCGTAGAATTGTATAAACGAGATCTCGAAGATAACCGAAACAAAATGTGTACAGGAAGAATGATTCACAGATATGAGAATCGATTTGATATTCCTTTTGAAACTCAACTATGAAAAAAATATCTTTGATGGCTAAGTACCGGAAGATTGAAAATGTGTCATGTAAGAAAATAAATGGGATTTCGAGAGAATATTTGGATGCTATCCCACGCTTATTTGTAAAGTACCAAGGTAACGTCAAGCTCATGGGATTGTTGAAGGTTTTCAAAACGCAATGTAGCCTCTGTCGACAATTCAAGATTTCCAAGGGATTAAGGCAAAAGTAACTGTGATGACTGAAAAATCACCGAAACGTTCTCTAGAACATGATACCAGTCAGTAATCCTGCCTTTCTTTGTGCTATACATACAAATTGTAGTATATACTTAGATTTTGGTTATTTCACATACAAATTGTACTATAAATGTGTATGTTTGTATTTTCAGTATTTTTCGTTATTTTTGAAAAGAAAAGCACTGACGATCTTTTCTTAAAACGCCTTAAAATGGCTTTTCCGGAATTACTGGGTTTTGGGCATCATCAGACCTGTACTACTATCTGTTACTCTGGCTCATATAATTGTTCTTAAAGGAACATTCTGAGACAAAGATTATATTGAGATAGAAAATAACGTCATCCCTTAGTCAATTATAAAAAATGTGATTTCACAGATGTTACGTGTTTGGCTAGAAATCATTTATATTTTTTGATAAACAAAACCACAATAGTGGTTCATAATAGGGATCGCAAAGAATTGCACAAAATCCTAGTAGCACGTTTGACACCTTAAATTAAGCAGTAAAGATTCAGTTCAAACAACACTTTAAAATATTCAATATTGACTGCTAAGGCTGTACACATATAAAATGTACAAAAAGTACGCATGTCAGACTTACAATTAAAAAAAAAAACGCTCAAAATGACCCGTTTGTAATTCTTCTTATTCTTGATATTATTCTCTTGCCAGCCTACAACAAAAATGTCTTGGTATATTGCATCCAAACCTTTCGTATAATACTAAATAAGATAGTACGAAGGTTGTACGGGTATTAAAAAGTGGATTTGTTTCTTCTATATTTTACATAAGCTACAAAACATCATAATACTACTATAAATGATGTTATCATTACCCTACGAAGTTATCTTTCTTACATATATATAGCTTAAGGGTAAAATGAGAATTACCAGCCAATAATAGATAAACATCAGATGACTGTAGCGTGTAGGTATTCATTGCTTTTTTTACACTACAATTGGTGTCTTTAGGAAACCAACCTCTATATTGCGTACAAAGGAGTAAAAAAATCAAAACACATAATATTAAATTTTATTAGATACAACTGTAGAATAACTACTTTAAAAGACATGAAGGCATATCTAAGCGATGTTTTAGACGTACATGTTTTATTTGAAAAGGCTGCTTTTCTACTGGTAAAATTTTATACGCACTTAGTGGGGTTCTGTCTTAATCTAGGGCTATATTTGCCCATTGCTATCCATTATATATAGAGAGAATTTAGTTACACA